ATTCAATTTCATTTCAATTTATTTACGTTTACAGCGGCATTTAGCAAATTTGTATAGAAACAAAACCTTGGCTGTAGTGTTAAATAAATAAAAATTACATTAATGTTAAAATGTGTCATCTTTCTGTCCCGGAGTGTACTTTTCGCCCAACTCCGCTGGCAGTCGTTAAGAATTGAAATTTAACTAATTAGCGCTGCATACAGTGCATGCAGCGCATACAGACATTATATCCGATTAGAAATTGCACGCTGGTTGCATTTTATTCGCGTTCGCATTGCGAACCGTCGATAGTTTTTGCCAGAACTCGGTCGATACCGCGAATTTTTTCGTATAGATTGATAAGATTGGCTTCGCAAGAAGCGAAGGAAGGCTCTCGTTTCCATGAAACGGAAAATCTCGTTCAGCTCCAGAAGCTGCTGAAAATGTTACGGCAATAATATTTCGAGTTAATAGATCTGAAAATTACTTTCTACCTTTTTAGAACGCTATGAACGGTATTATTTTAAATATGCATCTAATGAACTGGGTAGAAAGTTTAATGGACGGAGCTGATAATGGTTTTACACTTCCATGGCATCCTTTAATTTTGACTAATCCGCTTGTGCGAGATGCTTTATAGTTTATAGGATCTATTTAGACAATTTCATTATATTATACATATGTATACTCTTGTGTTCACGAAAATATTCACGAAAGTATTTGATGTAGCATCCCACATATACCAAGGTATGGGACTTAGAAAATAATTTAACAATATATGAGAGCCGTTTATTTTGAAAGTGGCATAAGTCACTTTTTCAAAAAAATCGAGTTAACGGTAACACTAATTACAATTGAACGGTATCTTTACATTTAAAAAAAATTTGCGATCAATAAGTTGAGAACTATTGAGATTTATTCGAGAGAAGTTTTGCTAATTAACGGTATAACAAACATGTTTATTTTGAAAGTGGCGTAAGTCGCTGTACTCAGGAGATTAATTGCGGGGCTTAGTGTAAAAGAAATAGAAACGTGCGATAAGTGTGTGTGAAGTATTGTTTTGAATTATTTTCAGTATTTTTAAAAAAGCTGTGATCACTGGACTTATTTTTATAAGTGCGAAAGAGAGAATAGTGCAGTTTTGTAAATTATATTATAGTGATGTGGCGGCTACCTCCAGACCCGCCAGTAGATGGCTATAAAATGTTTTATAAACTAACTTTAGATGAAAAAGATGAATTTCTAACTTTGGATTTGTCACCAAAAAGAGGAAGACCTAGGCGTTATTCACAAATAGAAATGGATCCGTTATACGCTGGATCTCGTCCTGTTTCTTCAGCAAAATACAAAGACACGATGGACTTGCTTAATTATATACCCCCAATATACCACAGTTATTTAAAAAATTTGAAACAAAACACGATTTCCGAGGACTTAATCACTCCTATTCATGACGAAAATTAAATTGAACCGATGTATTTTCATATAAATTACTTATACCTATGTTTCAAAATGTACTAATTATTTTTGTATTTTATGAATATTAAGATAAAAAATACTTAAATCAAACCTTTATATTAAATATGTTCATGGTATAAATTATTATTATATATGCAATTTATTCAACAATTTTAGTAAATCACTGTCCTTTCAAAACATCATTTCAGTAAAATACGTCGGACAAAATTAATATATGTCAGTCATTTTTCTAAACTATTTATTTTGAAAGTGGCTTAAGTCACTTTACCGTAATGAAAAGTGGTGATTTTTTTAATGTTTATACGAAATTATTTATACTGAGAAAAATATCAGTATCCTGAGATAACAAATACAAGTAAATCTTCCCGAAAGTTAGCATCCATATTTTTAAACGTGTTAAAACGCAAACCCTTAAATATATCGACTTAAAAACAAAGTGACTTATACCACTTTCAAAATAAACGGCTCATATATAGCGTGTTCGAACTTTAGACAAGTAAGAATTTCCGACACTAACAGAATGTAAATGTACAGTTTCCGACTCAGATGGTTCCGACTCTAAACTAACAATTCCCAGCGCTAAGAGAATGTAAACAAACATCGCTCAGTTAACTGGCAGATAGTGCAGGCGACAAAGCGCACAAAATTTCTGTCACAATTGTCATTGCAAACAATCTAATAAAGTGAGTCGCAAAAGAATCCGAGACAAACGAGTCAGTCAAGAAAATCAATAGTAAAATGTTATAAGAAAGGCAAATCGGACAGTGAAATTGTGCAAATTGTAAACAGAAGTAAGTTCACGAATCATGATATTCTGAAGAAATTTAATGCGCGAGGTAACGTTGCTAATGAGTTCCGACCAAAAAAGCTGACTGAAAGAAAAGAGAAGACAATTATACGAAAAATCAAACAAGATTCTGTTATTTCTGGATTATGTCGTCGATTATTTAGAAATAATGATCTCGAAACACGTGCACCGAGGAGGAAACCATTGGTAAGAAAAATAAAATGGTAATTATATTTTGTAACAGTTATCGACGAGAAAAGTTGATTTCGGTTGCTTGTAACAATTACGGACGAGAAACATTGATTTTCTATAGATATTGCTCCGGGTGGTAACTATTTTGGTGGCGATAAAATAAATTTTAATAAATAAATTAGTAGATTGTTTTTTATTTACAAAATACTTTTTTAAAATAATGTACATCGGAATGAAAAAAAACGAAAGGTCTTAATAATTACAATAATGCTGACTTTCGGAATCAATGATCTCGAGTACCAGGGCAGACTTTGCCTTTCAGGAAGTGACTCAAGCACAGCTCGACAAAGGAAGATAATAGATATCGAGAGCGAAAGCGAGATAAATGAAGTTTGCCGAGCATCGACGGTTGAGACTCGGCATTTAAAAAGTTGCTGCGACAGCCAAAAAATAAATGTGCAATGTTATCAATCATTTTTATCTTATCTTTATCGTTACAGTGGCAATGGATAGCTTAAATTTTTCCAGTCAAGACGAATCAAAACACGCCGTAAATTGGACTACTTTTATATTTCATGTAAATATCAAAATTGAGACGTGAGAATGCTTAAGTTTATAAAACTAGTCAGATTTGCATCTCGTGTTTGGTCTCGTTTCCATAAAAAATGATCATTTATGTGCAATTCAGTATCACTACAGTTTTATGAAAAATTTGCAAATAAATGTAAGAAGTATACATATAAGTATGCAGAGATAAAGTATGCAAGTTTCTGTTCGAGAATATTATAATAAAAGGAAACAATACTAAAAATTGGAGAATTATTAAAACCATGACGTGTAAAGGAAAGCTAATCAACACTTTCGTGTGCGTAGCTCAGTATCATGAGCATCTCACACAATCACAATAACAAACACAAAATTCCATATAAAAATGATAGCAACCAAATTGCTAGATGCAATGCAACAAGCACAATGTTGCGAACAAAAATGACGCATGCCAAGTTTCAAGTAAAAGAAATTATGGATACAAAGTTGTAAACAAGATGCTAGATATAATGCAGTAAGCGAACATTACATATACAATGTTGCAAAAGAAAAATTATAAATGCGAAGTTTCGAGTAAAAAATTATGTATACATAATTTCAAACAAAATGCTAGGTACAATGTGAGAAACGAAGATTATAGTTACAATGTTGCAAATAAAAATTTTACATACAATGTTACTATAATTTTTTATTTGCGACATTGTATGTAAAATTTTTATTTGCAACATTGTAACTATAATCTTCGTTTCTTACATTGTACCTAGCATTTTGTTTGAAATTTTTTATTTTTAATATATATACAAAAATGCATTGCAGCTACTTACATATTATTACATCGATAAATAGATAGCTACTTCTAAGTAACAGAACCAGTTGTACTTAACAAAATATTTACTGCCTTCAGACACTGGTTTGCTATAAAAATAACCTTGTGCCTATACATAGCCGTCTTAAGACTGACCTGTAGAACCGTTCTCCGGTTACTCTTTCACATTCTACATCGTTCAATCAAGAACGTCGTTGCAAGCAAATTCACTGCGTTTTAATATAACATTAAATACCGTGGTTTCTGGTACTGTTAAATTAAATAATTTATTTAATTGAGGAGGATAGATATTGTGGAATTAATTTTAATTTTTTGTAGAGTTACTCAATTTTGTTTGTGTCGAGTATACTCGTCACGAAAAGGTGCCGATGATGAATATACTCGTCATGGAGAAACTAAACAGATATTTGCTCTTTAAAGCACAATTTACGTGAAACATACTCGTAATTTTAGCACGCTTTAGTATAATAATGGATTAAACATTAATAAACGAAGTGCAACTATCAAGGAATATTGAGAAAAAAGATAATAGCACAGTTCGAAAATTAAAGATCAAGATATTAACACGAAGAATATGATTCAGTTCTCTGAAAACGATCGAAATAAATATTTCTTCTTCAAATATTTTATTATTTAGTAAAAAAATATTTTTAATTCCAAATATTGATTATTCGTTTTGTTCTTACGTTAATCAAGTTAAAAATTTCGCGAATAATATTACCTCAGACAATAAAAATATAAATTGTTGCAAGGGAGACAACTTGAGAGAACTTGTCATTTTGTTGTAATTTATTTCAATTTTACAACAGATAAAATAAAACACCTCAGCGATTGATTTTATTTTTTTAACAGTACCCGATTCCGCGGTTTGTTTTATACTGGCCTTAAGATTTTAAAGGACATAAATAATTAAAGTAACGCACCTGCGATACGTAGCGTGACAGCAGCGAAAGTAGTAATGGAACGGAAGTTCAGCGTGCAATTTGTTAAGTTCTACAAGGCGTAACTTCACTCGCTGAAGGTAACTCGGTCTCGACACGAACAGGTTCACTGTCATTCTGATGCGATTTTTCCGCCGCTCATTTGAAGGGAAAATGTATTTCCCTTGGATTGGGTAAGCGAATAGCATAGCGTTTGACGTTGGCATGAATTAGGAAAGAGAGAGGGAAGGAAATGAAAGGAAACATTTCGTCCTGGGTCTACCAAAAATAATAGCCTGTATTTTAGCATATTTTTTTTATAATCTTTCAAAAAGTAAAAACATTTATATTTTTTTTAGAAATTACACATTTTATCAAAGTATCAATTCGAGTAGTGCATTTAACGTTTCACATAACATAACATTTGCTTGCTATTCCTTATTTAACACTTATCTATCCAGTGTGTCATTTTCCCAGCTTTTTTTATTTTTAATGACCGAGTTTTGCTAACTTAATTAGTTTTCCAAGATGTTGATTTTTTTGCTTGTTGTTTTTAATTGCTTGTGGAAAGGCAGTGCTTCCTATTCATTTGTTAATTGTATAATTTTTAATTTTTTAAGATAAAACTTACTAACTTAATTATTCACATATTTTGATAACTTGACTATTTAACTGACACTAATTTACAGTAAGGAACAAGTAAAATTGGCAAATGAGGGACAGTTGATAATTAATATGTTACAATATTAAAGTTACAGTTTATGGCACTTAGACAGCACAGTTCACCTGAGATAACACATGTTTTGATCAAATCTACGAGTGATTGTTATTTTAATTGTAAAAGTGTATGATAAAAAGCTGTACACTATTATGTGCAAATTATACAGTATTATGAGCAAGTTACAAAAATAATTCCTTCGTGATCTTAATTTGCGATGTAATCATTCCTATTAATAGTTTATTCGCTATATTTTTATTACGAGATTAAATTTATGTTTGGCTACGTCGCAGTTACGAAGCTGCAATTCTACAATATTTAACAGTTTTATAACAAAATTGTCCATCTTAACACACTCTTCTACATAACAATAAAAAAATGTCTACGTACACCTGAATTAATTCAAAATATCTTACGAATACAAAGGTTTTGCATATTTTATCGTCGTTGATCCATTTGTATCTTAAAATTCTGTGCATTGTGTGTAAATGTTTTTTATATATTTGTTTACTTTAAAATTTACCGTACACACTGTTGGGAGAGGAATATTCTTATTGACAAAGCTTTTTGTTATATTGCTGGCAATTATTCAATCATTCAATTTAACTTGTTGGTTAACAAGAATGAAAATATCGCAATTTTTCAAAAACTACTTAATTTCAATTAATCCATTCGAGGGTCTAGTAGATCCCTACCACTGACAAAGCTTCGTATATTTTAACTAATAAATATTGCATTTTTCATTGGGTCCAGGGTCAATAAATGAAAATTACTATCCACAAAACGTGCAAAACCTTCGCATTTTCGTCTCAAAACTCATTAAAACATTCACAACGAATCATGAATCCTCTACACAGGCATCGACAAGACTGCTTAAAAGCTCAACGACCACCGCTACAAGTGTTCTAAAACCTGGCACGAAAGTCACTACACGCCACAAATTCAACATCGTCTCGATAGCTTACAAGATTCTAAAAGCAGTCGCAGAAACCACCATCTTCATCTCTCGGTTTCATAATTCAACCAGTCAGCCTTAACAAGATCAGCACCCTTCTCCCCGATCATGATAACCGGAGCATTAGTATTTCCACTGCTGATAGTGGGCATGATAGACGCATCGATCACTCGGAGCCCTCCGATCCCGTAGACCCTCAACCTAGGGTCTACGACAGCAGTGGGATCAGTGGACGGGCCCATCTTGGTGGTCCCGACCGGATGGTAGATCGTCATAGAAATGTGCCTGATGTGGCAGTCCCAGTAAGCATCGGAGGCAAACTTGAAGTGCTTGCAGCCCGGCAGGTTCACCCGGTGCACCCTGGACCCAAACTGCCTGAACACCTTGGCCTCGCTGACTTTCATAGCTAGCTTAGCACCCTCCACCAAAGTGGCGATGTCTCTGGGGTCGGCGAAGTAGTTAGCGTCGATTAGGGGACTGTGGAAGGGATTGGAGCTCCTCAATCGGACAGTGCCGCGAGATCTCGGTCTCAGCAGCAGTGGCATGATGGTCCAAGCATCCTTATCCGCGATGGGCTTGTAGACAGCGTCATAGACCTCGTCGGTGAGTCCCAGGACTTTTCGAACCTGGACTCCAGCGTCGGAGTTGATAGAGGCCGGCGCCATGTGGAACTGAATGTCAGGGTAGTCCATGGACCTGTTGGCGAACTTGGTGTTGACAAAGGCGTAGCCTTCGACCCCTCCCAGGGTGGTCATGGGTCCTCTTCCATTGGCCACGTAGTGCATAGTGATCGGCGCAGCCTGAAGCCGGTTTTGCACTATGGAGACTGGCTTGTCGACCAAAAAGGTCAGTCCACCCATGCCAACGTGGTCTTGGAGGTTGTCTCCAACTCTGAGATCCTTGATCACAGGAATGCCCATCTGCTGAAGGTGCTCCTGCGGCCCTATGCCGGACAGCATCAGGATCTGGGCGCTGTTTATGGCTCCCGCCGAGAGGATCACCTCTTTCCGTGCTCTGACGATCTGCCTGCGACCGTCCCTGATGAACTCCACGCCGGTGGCCCGCATAGTGACCGGGTCTATCAGGATCCTGGTCACGTGGGCGTTCATAGCCGTGTGGATGTTTCTACGGAGTCTCACAGGACGGAGGAACGCCTTAGCCGTGGAGCATCTGCTACCTCGGCGGATGGTCCCTTGGGCGATCATGAAGCCTGTTTGACGTTCGCCGTTGATGTCCCTATTCTCGTAGCCCATCTCCACCCCAGCCTGCACAAAGGCGACCACCAGGGGTGTCTTCCATGGGGATTCCTGTACCTGCGAAATTACCAACGTGGGGAATGTATCTCACTTTTTGTGGAGTTTGTTCTAGATGATTTGATCGCAAAGCAACAAAACAACAAAAACGCTAATTTGTTTCTTGGTCTACAAATTTATATTTTTGCTAATAAAGGCACGCATATAATTGTTTACAATTTCTGTCCAAATCAATATTTTGTTGAAAATCTGTTCGCCCTTCACTAGCTATTTTAATATAAGTTAACACATTGCGGACGGCTCACGAGATATCTCGTTTTTAGCAAATTGAACGTTGCGGACGGGTCACGAGATATCTCGTTTTCATGTTTTTTTTATTTAATCGGCAACTTAAGCAACCAGCCGCAAATATTTCTGTTACGTAACCATGATAACGAGAAGCCTCTCGCATTCCTAAGTAATTTTAGCGAAACAAATGAATCATTCCAAGCATGTAGAAATGATCAGTCATTATAGCCAGGGTCAGTAGATCTGTGCCGATCGTCGTACGTATCGTATCTTATAAAGTGTTTTATTACTGTACATTTTTTGGAATTTCAAACTTCGTGTTTTAAATTTGGAAGGTAACAGTTTCTTAAGAATCATCTATATTTTCAATCTGTTACTGATAATTTATAACAAAAATTGATTTTATGAAATAGGCCCTATAAAAGCAACGAAATGACACATAGATGTAATGAAAACGAAACTCAAAGAGAATTGGTATATGATGATTTATCTGATGGACCAAACAACGCATGCGACGAAAATGAATTCAGTGATAGCAGCGATATTCTTGAATTAAGTGATGTGATTAGACATAGAAAAAATCTGAGTAGAAAGTATAATATTTCAAGCGAAAGTGAAGATTCGGATGTGGAGACTGATGAGCCTATAATTGAAGAATGGACAAATGAGGATACTTTTCCAAATCTGGAACCTTTTGAAATAATTTGTGGTACAACATCATTACAAAGAAATTGCAGCGTGAAAGAAGCTGTTGATTGTATATTTGGCAACGAATTTTTCCAAATTATTTCTGAAGAAACAAATCGCTATTACTTACAAAATGTACATAAATATAAGGCTATTCATAAACAAGGAAAATGGAGAAATGTCTCATGTTCCGAAATAAAAACTTTGTTCGGAATATTTATTTTGATGGGACAAATACGAAAGGATAACATAAAAGAATACTGGTCCGTGGATCCATATTTGGCAACACCTATTTTTTCAAAATTAATAAGTAGGAACAGATTTGATCAGGTTACGAGGTATTTACATTTTAACGATAACACGAAAATGAATGAAAATAGTGATAGCCTCTACAAAATACAACCTGTTTACAATTATCTACTAGAAAAATTTAAAACTGTTTATACTCCTCATCAGAACCTATCGCTAGATGAAGCCATGATCCCTTGGCGTGGAAAATTAAAATTTAAAACGTACAATCCACGTAAACTTACTAAATATGAAATACTTGTACGAGTATTATCGGAGAGTCAGACGGGATATATATGTAATATAGAAATTTATTGTGGACAAGGCAAAAAACTGCAAGACACGGTAACAACGATTCTTACACCGTATTTCGGATATTGGCACCATCTTTATATGGATAATTATTATAATACTTTGAACATTGCCGAATTTTTATTACAAAATAAAATCCGAATATGTGGCACAATACGCGCCAATAGATTGCCAAAATGTTTGAAAACAAAATCGTTAAAACTACAAAAAGGGGAGAGTATTTTCAAACGGAAAGGTGATATTTTGTTGCAAATTTGGAAAGATAAGAGAGAGGTTCGAATGATTTCGACAATTCATAAATTTGAAACGGTTGAATGCACTGGAAAATATAAAACTATACAAAAACCGAAATGCATTGCAGATTATAATTTAAACATGAACGGTGTCGATCTTGCAGATCAATATCTATCATATTACTCAATATTGAGAAAAACAATTAAGTGGCCTAAAAAGATAGTATTATATCTCGTCAACTGCGGCCTGTTCAATGCATTCAAGATTTATAATTCGTGTAATAATGAAAAAATGAAATATAAAGATTTTCTACTTGCTGTGATGAAATTGTGGACGACGGAAGAAAAATCAACGGATACATTTATGGATGTAGGACAAAGTGTTTCAAATACAACAAATCACCTACGTGTCGACCCGCCATGTAGACTCTCTGGTAATATGAAACAGCATATACTGGTACCAATACGGAGTAAAGGCAAGAAGAAGTTCCCAACCAAACAATGTAAAGTTTGTTCGTGCAATGGAAAAAGGAGCGAAACAAGATACTGTTGCCAATTGTGCCAAACAGCATTGCACAAAGGAGTATGCTTTACCAAATATCACACTCTAAATCAATATTCAAATTTGTATAATAAATAATAGTTAAAATGTAAAAAATCTTATATAATAAACAGATATATAAACTATGTATATATAGTATTATTTAAGAATACTAAATGCAAATTAGAAATGTGCGTATCCGCTTCCTGTTACTTGCCAAGCATGTTTTTGGAGCGTTCGAAAATGTGCGGTCTTTGAGGGCGTGTTGAACGCGCAGAGCCCCATCCGCAATGTGTTAAGAAGCAAATTGATTTCTTTTGGTTTTAAAAAACTGTTGTACTACGCCAATTTTGACAAGATTAAAAAATTCACGCTGTTCAAAAACCAAGGCTCACTTTGGAAAAGCAGTTGAAGTTTCTCCATACTGCGAATATATTACAAGATATGCGTACACTTTTTTCAAAATTGTGGTCAAATTGTATAAACTATCTAAAGATGCTTCATAAAAGTGTGACCAAGAACATATTGCACAAATCAGCACATCATTTCCTACGCACCGTTAGATAGCCACCCGTAGAATGATAAGGGCTTTTCTGGAGATAAGGATTGCGGTTGTCCTCGGACTTCTTGAAGTAGTACAAAGCCTGACTGAATCCCCAGCCAGGATTACCAAGAGCCTCCCAGTGGTCGTAATCGTGCCGATTCCCTCGGACGTACAGCATGTAGTTGAGCACACTGGAACCGCCCAAGACCTTGCCTCTGGGCCAATTGCATCGGCCGCCTTTCATCGCCAAACAGGCCCTGCCAGTCGGTTCTGTCTTATACTTCCAGTCCAGCTTGGTCAGCTGAAGATAGGCAGCCAGCGAAGGCACATCTGTTATCTCGTTCTCGTCCGGTCCGGCTTCCAACAGAAGGACATTCCAATCCGGGATTTCTGATAATCTGCTGGCAACCACTGCTCCTGCCGAGCCGCCTCCTACCACGATGAAGTCGTATTCCGCGTACAGCGGGTATCTGTTTATGGGACGGCTTTCCGGGTCCAGTTGGTCGTAGCGGTAATAGGACAGGCCTGCTATTAGCAACGGGATCAGCCACAGGCTTGTCCCCACGAGGCCCAGGGCTCCCTTCAAGGCAGATGTCACCACTATCGCGCTGAACACCATGCTTCTTCAATTGTAATTTTGGACGAATTTGAAGATTTGGCAGTTTGATCGAGTTGAGTGGCATAACGTTGCGAAGGTGCTAGAGGATGTCTGGGGGACGAGTGCCTAATCGTTCGGTCCTGGGTACTCTGAGCGGGGTGTATGGGGTTGCGGTGGTCATCGTAGAGTTGGTGCCGCGGTCTTCATGGGGAAGATCGTCCTGTAATTGAACCAGAGTCGTTAGTATGGCGCCTAGATGACAGCACTGTGCAGTGTTTACACGTTACGACTTTTTTGGGCATGTAGGGATATTATATGTCACGTTATTGTCTTGTGATGTTTCAAACGCGACCCAATACGTGTATATTCCACTTCTACAGAATAATTTTAATTAATATTGTACTGTTTTGTACTTTTACAGGAGAATTTGAATTAATATTTTGTTAGACTTTACTTTACGGGACCAGAGATTTTTGGTTCTTTTACATACATTCTCGTAGATTTTGTCGAGATAATTCCAAAAATTCAAGTCCCAAGGTGCGCAAACCATTGGTTCAAAAGTTATACGCGTTCTAATCCTGACATAATCCATAAAGTAAAGATTAGCCAAAATGACTGCTCATCCGTGCCTGTGCTGCCGTTTAGCGGCTCTTGTGAGGAATTTTTTGGACATTTGTGCTGCCATCTAGCGGCGCCACTCATGAGACTACATCTCCAGACGGAGTGCGTATCAATGTGGCGTCACGTTACATGTCAAACACGCTTGAAATTCGTCGATTTTGAACGCGTATAACTTTTGAGCCAATGGTTTGCGTACCTTGGGACTTGAATTTTCTGCGTTTCCGCGACAAAATCTACGAAAATATTCATAGAAGAGCCAAAAATAGTGCATTCTTCTATTTTTAAAGCGTACGAAATTTGAACAATCCTTCCTAATACTTGCTGGCTTTAGAATATGTTGCAACAGATTAAAATATAACAATCTTTTTAAATCTATATAAAAAAAATAAACACAACTCAAATTTACAAATTACAATATAGGCTGATTGTGACTAATTTTTCTTTATACTTCTTTTGTTAATGTCGTAGCAATACCAACCTTTCTTCTCTTCACTGTTTTTATTTTCTACTTAACAATACATGCTAGATTCTAGGAAGAAACAATTGTTCTATAATACTTAACGTAACAATAACAATAACCTTGATCTAATTTTAGATGGGGAAAATGTAAAGAAAGGTTTTGTATTGTTTAACAAGCTTCATCGCCGGATAATGAAATTATTTACAGAACTACATCCGTGTATATTAAAAGTACAATATTACTTGTTCCTTAACCGTTTGACTGCTGAGGAGCGCTATCGCGCTCTTTTTATTATGAAAAAATATGTCAGCAGCCAAACGGTTAAATGCAACTGAACAATTTTACTTTTGTAATTGTGTCGCCAATGTATAGCACAGGTTCTTCTGATTAAAATGAGTCCAAACACGATATAAATTGGATTACGTTTATTATACAGGGTGATTCATGTAACTTGTACACATCAAATAACTTTAAATTAGTTGATTGTGAAAATTTAGAAACTTCTCTTCATACAAGAACCTGTACTCATCTTTGAAGCTATGCATTTACAAATTTGCCATAAAAAGCATAACTTTAAAGTTATTTGAGATGTGCAAGTTTCATGACTCACCCAGTAGTTTGCTCATTAATTGATTCGTGGATAGCTGAAATTAATCCAATTTCCATCGTGTTTGGACTCATTTTAATCGGGAGAATCTCAGCTATCCATTAATACTAAAATTATAAAGGTAAGACGACGATTACTGAAAGTGAAATTAGTACAATTGAATTAACATACTGGCTCCCGAATCCATGTAACTTTAACCATATATATACTACTGTAGCTTTTTGCTCTCAAAACGCCATTTATTTTGTCATTTTGCACTGTTAACAATTGTTAATAATTCAAAACGTCACTTGTGCAATTATAGTATGTACGAGATCAGTATACATTTATTTTTACTGCTTTTGATCAACAAGATCGATTGGATCAGAGAGTCAAAAGGAATATACATGTGTATAAACAATAGTAGTTTCTAGACAAACGAATAATCCCGAGTTTGCTATCATAAATTCTGCTCTCAACTATCGTGTTGTTGGAGAAGGGTTAAAGCGAGATCATGAAATGGAGCACGCTGACTCTCACAATCGAGCGATTAATCAAATGAGATTCGAGAACAATTGTTTCCACGAGCAGAGAACTTTCATCGAGCCAGCAAATCTACGTTTAGCCTGCGAGAATAGTTCGCGTTGACCCTGGACATTTATGGCCTGGTTCATAATAGCATATTGTTGCAATGAATTTCGTAGAGAATGAAAGTATGTTTTCCATATTAATTAAGATGGATTAATTTAATGCGCAGAATTGAGCATTTTATTCGAATTGTTTCGGATAAATATTTATCTGAAATAATTATTCGAGTGAATTCTTTTCAGTCGAATATTTTATTCGAACAACAACTATTAATTATTCATAACAAATTGTTCTATCTAATTATTCGGATAATTCTTCTTTTATTCAGACAAATTATTCGAATAGAGATTGTAACATTATTCCAATAATAATGTCAATTACTGTTGACCGTTTTTTAAAGTAATTGTTTAAGTTGTTTCCTTTCTTAAATTGCTTCTTTTGCATACGAAGAAACATTATTTAGTTCAATCTGCCCAAAAATAACAAACTTTCCGAGGCAGCAATTGAAAAAAAATTAATTGTAAAAATTAACATGGAATAAATTAATCAATAAACTATGGAAAACCCTATCATTTTATTCAAATCGATTAGTTTTCGAATAACAAATAACTTCTCATTCGGATGAATTTTTATTCGAATAAAATGTTATCTAGATAAATGTTTATTCTAGTGGATATTTCTTATTCGATAATGACGAATAAATTTTTCCGTTATCTCGAAGCAGTGGAATCTCCCCCCCCCCTGTATTTTCCTGTAGTTTACAAAAAAGTATATATTTTAGTTTTTAAACGTGTATCTAAATTTAATAAAAGTATTTTTAATCGAAAAATTATGATTTAAAAAAGGAACGGGTCTCGTGTTGGGCACCCTATATCAACATTATCGATAACTATCGTCAGTCACACCACTAGTCGAATATTCTTAGATGAACAATGCGTCACAGGGCAAACAATCTTGGATAGAAAGTGTAGAAGGGTAAATGCAATTCTGGTGTCAGGTCGATCATGAATTGGTCGTGTCTTTCACTGTGAAAAAAAACTATTAGCGTCTTCTCATCTGTAAAACGAGTAGTGCAACAGCATTAGCGGGTCTGGTCCGGTAGAGCAGCATAGATGGCGACAGCGAAAGGAAGGAGTAAGGCTAAAAGGACACGTAGCAGATTTTAATTGCTCCGCTCGACTATACTACGTTCAACGAGAACTGGTACAAAATCTAAACAGAACGTTCACGCGATCGGTGCAGCGGTTGCAGCCGAGTGGCTGTTAGACCACGATGCTCAGGGACGAATTTTATGGGGACGAAGGCCCTTGCATGCAGAGCAGCCTCATGCAGAAGGGCCCGAAAATTGTGATTCGGCCCTGGCCTGATCACGCGTCGCTCGCGTGCAGCTGTTCATAGTTTGTGCCAGTTCTCGTTGAGCAAAGTATGGGCTCAATTCGACGCAGTCTGCGGCGACGCGACGACTCATAGTGGGGCGAAAATGACTAAGCTTGCGTCAGACTCGTAGAACTTTTGACAGAAATGAAATCGAGAGACGATTTTGTGTTTTTAAATTCAACTTAAAATGTCCTAGAATAAGGAAAAATTATAGGAGAATGTCGCACGTACAATTTTCGACGTTTAAGATTTATGTTAAGTTTGATATTTTTCGATAAAATTTTGGTTCATCCGTTATCACATGCGAATTTATCAATTTGTTATATATTATTTCTCACAGATTCTGTCATTATCGAATTTTTTCGGTGATTTCCAGTGTTTCGACAAAAAAATGTTTCGAACAAAAATTTCTTAGCACTCAGTCTTCTGTAAACTCCAATATAAAAAGTTGAGAAATTACTTTGTTTAACCCTTTGCGCTCCTATGTCGAGTCAGACTCGACATTGACTTTTTCATTAATAGTTCATTTTCATGATTCGCATTATATTCATGAATAAATTACGTGATAAATTACGCAATTACGTGATAAGTACACTATTTTAACCGTAGCCTATATGTATTAACCAATAGTCTCTGTTTTATCTATTTTATGCTATCGTTGATATCTTAATTGGAACTAATTAATATTTTTATCCTACCATACTTTTCTGTTATATATATTTTACTTACTTTATTTAATTATTTCTTCTAATTGTATTAACCCCTTGACTACGGCAGACTTTGAGACGCGTCGGCCGTACCATACGGCAGAAATTGAGTTACGATGTAGGTCGAGAACGGCGAACTTTTGGATAGGGATGCATTTTTGTGAAAACATATTTCAATATTTAAAAAACTAAATTTCGCTACATTAAAACAATATTATTTATTTCTCTGAATCGAATTACTATAAATGTTACAAATTTAATATTAATGTAAAACTTGTTTCTCGTCTAACTGAGATAAGATCTATCGAAATAAATATCGATAAAATTTTCTGGACGTCTCCGAGTGTCACAAACGCAAAATTCCTAAGCGCCTATGGGCGCCCACAGTAGTCTAGGGGTTAATCTAGTCCACTACTACCGATAGCATTTATTATATTATACGAGGCTACGTTTATTATATTTTATTTTATTGTTACCTGGCATGCTCTGCGGTGCGTGTCCTGTATATTTTATATTTTTATATGGCTTAGCGATCGCAAGCAATGTGATCCCGGGTGAACATAAACTGTCTGAATAAATTACTAGTACATATTCCTAGTTCTAGTTAGATCGCAAAGTTATATACGGGAGTATGTTTGGACTGCATTGTAACAATCTCTGAAATAAAAGGAAGAAAATGCAGTAATTTCTGCAGAAATGTTCGCAGGTCGGAATTGAAACCGGCAGATTTGAGAATACAAAGTCGCGATTCTTCGGGTCTCGCGGTTGGTTTTTTATAAAAACTCGGCGCAGTCGGCATAACAGGGCAGCGATCAGCATGCCGGTGTACATTAATATGAATGAAAAGAATGAAAACGACGACTTAACTTCTTTATTTCTAA